AGTTATGGCTTCTCTCTTTCAGACTTTGTTATTTTCTTTACAGATCTTGTTACACAGTTGTAACTAAAGTATAACATTATGAACAAGATAGTTCCTACTGAAGACCTACCACTCCTTGGCAGAATGGAGAAACTGCTTCATTACCTTATTTAAAATGCTTCTATATGTTCCAGTATGACAAGTGAAGTKTCATGAGAGCGATGCTGCTGACTCATGATAATTTAGGAACCATTACAACCCCCAGATACTCCCCCACACAGAACTGCTGCCCTGCCAGCTGCTACTTGTCTGCGTAGGCAATATACCAAAACACAGTAATTTGAACCCATCTGCACCAAAATGGCTGAATCCAAAGCTATTGATTTCAGACCATTTATTGAATTTGTCAGGATCACATTATCTTTGTGTTTATTAAGAGCATTATTACAATATAGGGAAGTGAAGCCACCAGAAAGCATGTGACGCAGGACAGACTCCCTGATGTGAACACTCGTTCCTTGGACATACCCAAGTCTTGCGTTTTTTCTAGATATTGTGAGATAAAATGCTCCTCAACTCTTCTGGAGCATTCTGGAACTTTCCCCACCCCCACAGGCTCCCAGCTCCCTAAATACTAGAGGATACATTCCAGAAGGCCCAGTCAACCTGAAGACATTAGATTTGTCATTTAACCATTAAAGTTTCTCTACTTTTAACTGGAGTTCAAAGTAGAGGAAAGACAGTTTTCCCAAACTAACAGTGAAGATTTTAACACATTCAATATTTTCATGATGAGACTTCCTTGCTGAGTTTTTTTAAGATTAACATCAAAGGTCTATTCAGATCATCTCACGTGAGTCCTGATTAATCCCTTGATGATGGATGACGCATTGTAACACAATGGCAAAACACTCCTCTCTGYTGAAAGGCTGGAGACCTGTTGTAATCTTTACCATACACCTTCACCAGCAACTTTGTGAATACCAGTRATTTTTGTGCCCAGAATAATACCATATACCTCCCTGGCAGACTCAGTCCTTTATTTACAAGTTAATTGTTAATCACAAACTGAAGATGACAAAATTCCAAGAGAGTGTCACTCATTGCCACACGCTCTGTATGTTGCAATTATGCTATGAGGAGTGGGTCACACAGATATCCAGACCCTAGAAGACACCAAAAATTAAACTGCTCAAAGGGAAATTAAATTAAAGTTCCTAATTTCTTTCTATATTGAAAAAAAGGAGATTCCTTAAAAACAGGAGCGTTTGGACAACATTATACACATACTTCCTTATCAAGTGCTACTAACATCACACCACACAGCTGTGAACCTCCCTTCAGCATGCAGGATAAAACTATGCAAAACTCTGAACGRCAAATGATCACAAGATTCAAGCAGAAAACAAACCAACACTGGCATTTTTGCTAGAATGTCTGTAAGTCCTGGAACTTCAGTTGCTCCTGGCGAACTCCCTAATGTACAACAGYCCCTGAGGCACAAGGTCACATGCTGCAAAATATTTCTTTCTAAGCATCATTTATTGCAGAAAACCTCAGTTATGTTTGGCTGTACTGGTTCAAAGCATTTTTGTTAAGCCAGACCTTGGAAGTGCAACTATTTCAGATTAGTCATATTATGGAAYTGCATACACCAACAATTTGCAAAACTGTTTTGCTGTTTAATTATAGAAAGGTCTAAGTAGCATAAAGTGTGAAAAATCTTCTCCTGACTTTTGAAAAGCAGCTAGAGAATAAGCAGCACACTTCAATCAGGAATTTCCAGTTWGGAGTGATACAACTTGATCACTAATATGTATGATCAATTAAGCCAAAGTATTTCCCTCCCTGCTTATTGTCATGCTCACCTGTCTAACTTAGAACTCTTAGGTCTGCAGTGTTTGCAGATATACCTATGGGGCAGTGGACACTTTGCCACTATCAATCTCTACCTAAATTCATTCCAAAGACATGAATTTATCTTCTGACCTTACACTAACTCATTAAAGTTTGGCACATTTTCACAGCAACATATAAAGTTACAGCACACAAGTTAAACAACATCCTGGCTTTCATGAAGTATTCTGAGCAGAACCATATTTCTGCCAACTTCACTGCTTTTCATTAAATCTGACGAGCAAAGAGAACATGGATTTCAATTCCTCTTGCTGAAACAAAAACCACACATGATTTAATTGGCATCCTGGTCACTACGTAAGGGACAGTAAAATGTCTACTCACATTGCTGAGCTTGYAGAACCAAAACTAAACCACTCCTGCCTTTACAAATAAACTAACATAAAATCCCAAAATTCCTGGTAAACACACTACCTCRTCAACTRCAAAATCCAGTAAGTGTGACCCTTYCTTGGATAAGTTAGAGCAATAGTCATCCTATGACTGCTTCTACAAAGCTGCAAGGAAAAGCTGTGTCCATGCAGGCACAGCCAGCACTCCACTGGAGAGAGGTGCTTTATGCTTCAGCTCTACTGAACAGAGTCAGACCTTTTCCAATCTCTTCCTACAGACAAACAAACAAAGCACACCCTGGAGTACACTTCACAGCTAAGTCAATTCAGCAGTTACACAACTAACTTCAAACAACTTGTAACACTGGAAAAAAAAAGTAACCTTAACTCCGGGGCCAATAGCTTTTCTTCACTTTGTAAAGGCAAGTACTACATTATCTGACACCCCACATTCCTGAAGAAATTCACCAAGAGATCCAACCACAGCATTTTTCTGTATTAAAATAAAGATCCCACAACTCTTGAAATACTTTCTGTTTAATGAAAATGCTAGTGAATATTATTTTTTTCTGTAATKATTTAATTTCCTAATTTAAAACAGGAATTTCAAGATTCAGTAACACCATGCATACATAGCAGTCGCATACGTGAGATAAGATGACCATACCCTGTAAATATTCTAAAAGTAAAGCTTTTTCCTAACAGTACACTTCCATTTGATTTGTTGTATTTCACATCTGCATTCTGCTCCTCATATTTCTGAGACCCCGCAGAAAAAACAGGATTTGCTTTTTTCTAAAATGCCATCTGTTCCCTGCATATTTTCGCTTTTGGTCCTCGTATGATATTTGCAATGGAAACTTCTGTGCCATATAGGATTAAGGCTCTAAAGCAGATGAATATAAAATATAAGACGCAGAGGGCTGCACTTCCCTAGAAATTGCTGAAAAAAAAAAAAAAGGAAACATAAGGAAGCATCACCTGAAGCCTTTCTATCCTAAATACAAAACTTCAAGAAGTTCTTTTTAAAGGAACTTTTCTCCAGAARTTATTTGAAAGAATGTGAAAGGAAGAGCTGCTCCTCTTTAATCTGGGAATTTTATTTGTTCCTACCACTGCCCTACGCCTGTTTACTTCCTGAGTCAGAAACTGGAAGTTYGAAATATCGGTCCCCAAATGGATAAGCACGGGGAACCCTTCACTGAAATACCAGCCATATTCATTCATGAAGTAACATTTGCATAAGCTTTTTTCATAACCACCTAACATTTTTATAGAAGCGATGTCAACTCTACAGTAAACTCAGCTTTGACGGCGCTCCAATTATCTCAGCTGTTATCTCCATTCCCCCTCTTTGCTATTTCCACACTTTGCTCAGGCACTTGCAACGTTTCAGAGTATTATCAACATTACTAACACTTGTGTCACTCACAGCTCGGGGGCGGGGAAAGGCAGGCTGACCTACCTGGTCATGTTAGTATAAAAAGATTTTTAAGCAACACTCTTAAACCATTCCACCATTACTTATAAGAATTTAAATAGCTACTGTTCCTCTAAAGCTGTTTAAAAACTCGTAACTTGTGCAGACACCCACTGACTGCTCTAAAATMGTTCCAAAACAGCTCGTTACTAAACTGAACTGAAATCAAAGTCTCAAATGGGTATTTGAAATGCTAGGCGCGTTCTGATCAAGTCCAGCCCCAGCCATTTAAGTTAAACCACGCAAGATCTTAGGCCAAGGGGGCATAAAACACACCGGACACACGGAAATAACTTTCACGCCGGAAAGAGCCGCCTCATGCTCGGGCCAGGCGCTGTTTCCCTACGAACGGATAGCGAGCGGCACCTGACAAGTTTCCCAGYCTCGCTGGCAGCGGGCAGAGCGAGCCGGACCCCGGCTGCCCGCAGCACACGTGTCACTGCCGGCCGCCGACCGCCCCTTCCCGCCGGGGGCAGCCGGGAAGYGCGGCCCGGGAAGAGCCGAAAGCAAACGGCCGGGCCGGCGCCGCTCACCCGGTTTCGTTTCCAGCCTACAGCGGGGTCGCCCCTGCCCGGCCCCCCGGGACTCACCCGCCGCCCCGGCCCGCCCCCCCCCGCCCCGCTCGCGGACGGCCCCATGACAGGAGCTCAGCTCCGGCAGTGTCAGCGCTACCAACTTCCCGGCTGAGCAGGAAACAATAAACCGCAAAGCCCCGGCCCCCGCCGCCCACCCCCGCCCGGCCCTGCCCGCGGGGACCTCGCGCTGCCCCCCGCCGGAGCCGCTGCCGCGGCCACGGGACCGAGCGCGGGGGGGGTGGGGGGGGCCCGGCCTGGCGGGAGGCCGCTCCCGGGCCGCGCCGAGCCCGCGGCGCCGCGGGGTGCGGCAGGGCGGGCCTGGGGGCGGCAGGAGCTGGGTGAAGGCGCAGGGGGCGCGGGGGGCGCGTCGGGGGTGGCGCGGGGGCCGCACTCACCGGGCGGGCCCTGGCGCGGCTCCGGCGGCCCCACAACCATAACAAAGCTCTGCCCAAAATGGCCGCCCAGCCCTGCCCGGCCGGGGGCCGGAGGGGGCGGGGCCCGCGCGCGCGCGGGGCGGGGCTGAGCACGCGGAAGAGACACGCCCCCAGGCTCCCCTTCCCTGCCCCGCCCCGGCCCACGCGCTGGCYGTCCCACCAATCAGAGGCGGTGGCTCGCACCACCCTCGTCAACGCCTGTCGGAAGCAGCCGAAGACTACGCGCCCCAGGAGGCCACCCGCCATCCCCACCACGCACATGTCTGGACGGCGCGCCGCAAGGCAGGCTGGGAGTTGTAGTCCGCATGTGAGGGGCTTGCCCGTTGCGATGATGCAGGACGATGGAACGTAGGAACGGTCGCAACGYCCCAGAGGAGAGGGTCTGTCCCACAGACAGGAGAGGAGCGTGTCCCTCTTCTGCCAGGCCGAYCGCGACCCTCGGGCTGAGAGTGACCGGCTCTGCTGTCCCCGGTATCGGCTTGGGTGGGWTCTTCTCCGGCTCGGCGGAACACGATGTGCCACGCCGGTTCCCGTCCGGATCGGTAGCGCTAAGCGCCGGGCGCAGTCGGAGCTCTTAGCAGGGCACCGGAAGCCCCCTCAGGGAGCGGGTTCCGGGCGGAGACAGCTCCCGGAGAGTCCTGCCCGTCCCGGCGGGTGGAGGGGCCCCGCCTCCCTCCGGTATATACATCTATTTTCCTCTCCCTTCGCTTTCCGTGCAGGGACTTTGGCTGCGCAGAGCCACCTTCCTCTCCCGGTGCAGCAGGACCGGGAACTGCGGAGTCAAATCCAGGGTGAKCCGCCCGCCTTCCTCGGTGAGTGTGGTAGCCCGGCAGGGAGCTTACCTGCAGCTTGGGATAGGATGGCCTTTCCACTCCTTTTTTTTGTTAATGATCACTTTTTCCGCTTGTTGGGAATTGCTCATTTATAAGCTCTGTGCAGCCATTTATCACATAATTTTTCACCGTTAAAATAAGGATTCCACAACTCTTGAAATACTGTGTACAAATGTAAATAACGAAAATGCTAGTGAATATTTGGGAAAAAAAATATTTGCAGAAAGTGATGGGGCATTGCAACGGGCTGCTCGGGGAGGTGGTGGAGTCTCTGTCCATGGAGGTGTTTATAAATAGCCTAAACGTGGCACTTAGGGCCATGATCTCTAATTGATAAGGTCATGTTAGGTCATAGGTTGGACTTGATGATCTCAAAGGTCTTTTCCAACATAGCTGATCCTGTGATCCCTTGGAAAGAAGATGATCTATGAACGGGAAGCCATCACCTGTTCCCCAATACTCAGTTCTTTAACTAGAAATTGTTCTTGCAACAGTTAYTACAACTTTAGAACTTCAGTTCATAAAGCTGCCTGAAACTATTAAGTATTATGTAGTGGGCAAGTATAGATTGAGTACATGTGTAATAAAAATATATAAAAACATAAATATATATATATCTTTAAATATATATCTCTAAGAGTCTTGTATTTGCTAAGTGTAGACTGTGACTGAACTTTGGAAATCAGACAAATTCAGCWATTCATCGGTTTCAAATCTTCTGAATTTTTCTCTTTTAGGGCATTGCAAAAACAAACATGTTTTCTATTATACAGCGATGCTGCCTCAACACGCCTTTCAAAGTAAGTTACTAAAGGCTTTTCTTTGCTGTCAGATTTTATTTAAAWGTAAAATGGCAAAAGATACAACTGGAGCTTTGAAAAAAAGGTGGCTTCCAAGTTGGAGTTTATCACATGTTTATCAGTCAGCTTTTCTGGGATAGTTYATTTTTGCAAAGCTATTTCTTTTATAAAATTGAATTTTGTTGTCTGAAGGTCTTTTTTCCTCTCAGTTCTTGTTGGAGTAATGCGGGGACTAGTAGATAGTTTCTGGGGTGACCTTGTCTTGCTTCTGTAGAAAATTATTTTATATTTTACTCTGAAAAGGACTGATATATCTTAAAAGTACCTRAAGAATGCATTTGTGTGGGGAAGGATAGGTGGGTACTGGGTGAGGTTTGCTTACATACTTTGGAGAGCCCAGTTGCTCTTCATCATCTGCATTGTTCATTAGTTCAGTTAAAACCACTTGAAACTGTGGTGTGACCTGATCTGGAAGACCACTTGGTTCAGTATTCCTTAGGTAGTTCAGGTACCTGCAGATCTGTACTGTACAGTGTTCAGAACAAGTTTTGTGCTTGCAGCTCCAGAAGTTAACTGGTCCCAGACTGCTGCTCTATGGGAAGAATAAGACAACCTGGTCTTCCTCTGCCCTCCAGCTGCGGAGAGATGTGTGTCCTCTCTCAACATCTCTGAGCCTCAAACCAGCATCATTTTACACAGCCAAGCTCCAGGCTTTTCACACCTCTCGCCCTATCTTTGAGAAGAAGGAATGTGAGGCAGAATCGCAAAAAAGCCTGGAATCACTGAAATATTCTCCCAAGCCAGCCCTTTACTTAAGCCTTGGGGGACTAGTTCCCTATGTGGGCGTGCCCCTGACCATGATCGTCCAGGGGACCTACAGCCCGGAGCTGGCCTTTGCTCTGGTTGCCTATGGTGCTGCATCGGCATCTTTCCTAGGGGGAATGAGGTGGGGGTTTGCCCTCCCGGAAAACAGCCCAGCCAAGCCAGACTGGCTGAACCTGGCTAATGGCATAATTCCTCCTCTGCTTGCCTGGCAAGCCTTGCTTTTCCAAGATATCACTCAGGGAGCAGTAATGATTATGCTGGCCCTAGGGATATCGCTGCACTATGACATTTCCCTTCTTCCTACTTATCCCAGGTGGTTTAAAGCACTGAGGGTAATGGGAACAGTGGTGATGGTATCATCCCTATTGGCCACTGTAGCACTGAGAGCTTTCTTAGAGGTGGAGTAAAGTGGTGACAGAAAAACATGGCAGAACACAAATTAATAATTTAATAGGGAAGAGCTATTATCTACCAATAAACTATTTGTATGGAGTTCCAGGAGAAATAAAGACTGATTTGTGCTTAGAAGTCATATGATGGCAAGGATCAAGATGCTTATTCTTGAAGCAAAATGGTTTTCTGACTGATTTTGAAGCTAGATTGGGAGGGAAGGATTTTAAATAGCCATGACTTCCAAGGTAAGCACGAGTCTGTCCTGATCTGTAGAACAAAGAATCACTCCTGAATGAGATGGGGATTTAGAATGGAGGTTCAAAATGACATAAGTATGAATTGGTCTATGCTGAACTATGAAAGCACCTGGTTTAGATGTGTGATTAAAATTCTGAGGTGTGCAAAACAACAGTAAGAGGGTGAAAGCAGTTCTGTTTCACTCCTATTTTCAGAGAAGGTGCTGAAAATCASAGATTYACAGAATGGTTCAAGTTGGAAGGGACCTTAAAGATCATCTCGTTCCAACCCCCTGCAGTATACAGGGATATATTCCACTCAGTCAGGTTGCTCAAAGCCCCATCCAGCCTGAACRCTTYCAGGGGTGCYGTGTGAGGAAGTGCTCAGTGCAGTGTCAGGTAAGAAAGGAAAGGTGAGATTTGTTTGCAGTGGCAAGCCAAGTCACCACTCACCTGGAATATCTCACTCAGCTGCTGTTGCTGGAGTAGGGAAAAGCTGAAGGGGGAGCTTTGTATCTTTGACAAGGTGCCACAGAAAACAGCAGGTCAACTTCCTGCTCAGGCTTACTGAAATTAAAAAGGCTATTTGGGCCACCTGTTCCTAGGTTTTGTTTTACACTGTGACACAAGGACTCAAGTGTTGGCATTAAGGGATCAGATAATGGGACTGAAAGTAGCTTCTGTCTTCTCCCTCCTGAGAGTCCACATATTTGGACAGGTACAAGTGGAGTTGTAGCCTGCAAACCCTCCATGATGGGCCTGTTACCRAAACCACTGCAGAAGCATATGCTCTTTCTCCTTAATTCTTCCTAGCACATAGTTTAGTGGAACAGTGGAAGACACAGCCTAAGTCACATGGATTTTCTTTTCTAGTGTCACCTACCTCAAGAAACCTATGAAATGGGTTGGGGGCCTATTTCTTGTAAGCTTTTTATCAGAAATACTGAAGTACAGTTTAAGATGCAAAAAGAAAGCTGAAAATGACATCMACACATGGTCTTAGGACCAGATAATCCTCATCGATTTGTCTTCATTGTTGTTCTACACTGAATAAAGCAGGTATTGTCTCTTAAAATTTGTTACATGTTCATTCTGCAAAGAACAGATTTTTAAGMAACCTGCSTGTTCTGGAGATGGAGCCATCTTRTRTGATACTGCTGAAACAGCAGCTCTGTACACCAGCCTCTCCTTTTTGCAATCTGTTAACCTTTGTATGTTTAACAATATATTAAACCGTTTTGGGTATCAATTGCTCTATGCTGAACTATGAAAGTACAGTATATTTTTGAGCTTTCTGAATATAAAGGAAATGAAATTGAGTTTGTGAATGAAGATGTTTTTTCTATTCCTTCTTACTTAGACATGGCATTTTTAAGTCGCATTTCCATGTGACTTAGAGACGAGTCTTTGGCTTGATTAGGTAAAAGAGGTTCTGAGGATCAGAGAGGRTAATCAACCAGCTTCTAAGTTTCATTCAAATAAGACAGAATCAGTTACAAAACCTGGACAAGGTAACTTCRCACAACTGCAGACTCCCTCAAGCTCCATTAAAGCAGGAAGTTTACAGGTAGGGATCAGAAGTAAACTCCTAGTTCCCAAACTAATTAAATACAGCTAAGGTAGGGTTTCTCAAATGTTTCCATGAGGGATCCTGAAATGTAAAGAAAGCCCAAGAAATATTAMCTGTAATTTCATCCCAGAGAGGGCTGAATAGAGCTGGCAAGGMAGCCAGTCTTGCCAAGAAGTCTGAGTGATTTTACACCGAGAAGAGAAATACATGAGTATTTGACTGCAGAAATGTGTTGTTTCCACCACTTGGTCACAATTTATAATCAATCTTTTCCTAGTGTTCTACTGGGAAATAGAATTTCCAATTAAAAAAAAATACCTTTTACATAAAAGTGGCAGTAATATACCTTACTAAGTTATGAAAGCAATCTATTCAAGAGCATTCTCATCAGTTCTGAAAATGGATTTTATTATGAAAAACTATTTGAACAAGCTTACACTTGAAAAAAAAACCTGAACCAACATTTTAATTCAGATACATAAGAAATCCTTGAAGTAAAAGCACATAAAATTATGGAACAAAGAAATTCTCCATCATCTAGCAAGTTTTAGCCCAACCCTATATTAGATTTTAGGACCTAGATTCTTAAGGTACCCRCAACATTCACCTTCAGAGGATTTATTAATGTATGAATTAGTTAATTTTATACAGGGGATATTGACCTAAACAGCATGAACACTCCTTTGTCTACACAGTGCCAGGCTTCCTGTTTGTGACATCTCAGTTGTGGTTTTGTGTTCCAGAATAACACTGTCTGTCAAAGCTCAAGCAGCCTCACTTCAGACTCCATCCAAAGCATCCACAGCTGTGCTGAAAATGCCACCACAGTGTGCAAAAAGCAGCTTCAAATACATTAATTAAATGAATCTAAAAATAACTGCAAACTCCTGGTAGTAGTGTTCTACTAAGTGTATCCAAGCTAAGTGCTCCTTAAGAGCACATTGATACCATTGCTTTAATGCTAAATGTTGCTAATCTAATCACAGAAAGCTCCATTGGCTCAAATTTGGATGAGGCAGGATACAAGATGTACTGAAGRTGAAGAAGTGTGCCTTGTAGAACAGCAAGTACTCAATGCTAAGTCTCAGCATGTGTCACACAGGGYATAAACAAATTTGACTATGGGGAAAAAATGGGAGTAAAAGGCTTTCCCTGTGTTTTCACACTAAGAGCAGTTCTAAACAGAATAGCCAATCTAATGAATAGCATTTGCATTTAAAATTCACCAGAGCTTACACAAAAAGGTGCTCTACTGGCATCACACACCACTGAGAAGAAAAGGCAGTGCTGAAGGGGAATGGCATTGTTAGAACTGTGAGGACACCCTCAATATTCAAATTTGTGGAGGTGGTCAGAAAGTAAAGATCCAATWCAYATTTAATGCCCACCATGTCCAGCAACAGAAAAGAGGCTCMAATGCAWCAAGGCCATAATAGAGGCATCAAGTCTTCCCCATCTGTTAYCTTCCTTTTTTTCTGCCAGAATAAGAACTCATGCCATCCAAATCGCCCATCTGATCTTACCTACAGGTAACWCCTTGCTGTCGACAGTAACCTGCTTCCAGATTTCAAGTCTGGCTAAAATGCCAGCTGAGTAACAATCTCATAATGTCTCTAACGTGCTGGAATTATTTCTTCAGATTTTTACAGGGCAAATCCACCATTTATTTCAGTGTGCTTAATCCAGTTATAAGAGGCATTCCTACTCTTAACAGAATACTTCCTGAGACAGACACTGGATAAGCCAATTTACTTTGAAGGGCTTTTTCTTTTGCTCAGGAAAATCCCTCTGATCTAATTCTCCACTGAAGCTCCTGTGCTGTAAGAGGTTTCTGGCCAATGAAACCRGAAATCTGAGGAGACACATTTACTCATTCCTTGAATGAGTTTTCTTCTTGTGTTTTACAGCACAGCCACGCCTCCTTCGCAGCGGCTGGTGATCATGTTGGCAATTTCAGTCCAGCTGTCCATGTGAGGGTTATAAACTTCAACAGAGTCAGAGGTTACTGGAGCAGCAAAATCAGGACTGGGAGCTCGGCCTCCTGAGGCATAGAGAAGTCCATTCACCGCCACAACACAGACACCAGCTCTTGGAATCTTCATYGATGCAACTTCAACCCACTTTTCCTAACAAGGTGAAAGATAAAGAAATAGTGTTAGGGCAAGCCCCGATTCTGATAAAGTAACTTTTAAAACTTAAGGAGTGAAACATATACAAAGAACACTGTGTATACACTTYACAGACTTAAAYSTGGTATGTGTACAGTATCAAGAGGAATATCAAGCCAGGAATGACAACACTTTCAGGAAAGGTCCCAATCGTGTTGGAGCAGATCCCATACTGTCTGTACACAACACCCCTCCCTTTCTTCAGTCACTGCAAGATGCARTCTCCAAAATAGAGAACAGTACAGTTTGAGGGAGGAAAAAAAGGAAAACTAGATTCATTTTGGAAAGTAAAACCGATTGGCACATGGGATTGTGTTCTGCTTTTAACAGTAGCTACTCTTCCAAAGAGCATCCATAGAAACATGAGCAGTAAGAGTCTGGAATAATTTTTTTATCTTATTCTTGTCATGCTGAAACACCACTACATTTTGATGCAGAAGGAAGATCCTCAAATTTTGCAATAAAAGATTACCTCTTACTTTTACAGTAAAAATTCTCTCTCTATTCAGATTATTGAACTTTCTATTGCAGAGGGGAAATCTATCCTTTCATGTTAACCATAACAAGTAGTTACCAAACTACAGTATGTCTGTGCAGGGTTAAACCACAACAACTAAAGACAGCCCCTGAGATCACCAGAGTTTTTTTTCGCTCAAGATCACCAGCCAGATTTAAAAAGGAAATAAGAATTTCCAGCTTTTTAAAGAAAGGAAGCAGGCTACCYCTATAGCATCTTCCCCGAAGCTGATGCAATCTACATTTATGAAAAGAAGGGACTCTACCATACCTCCTCAAATGAGTATCTTTCTACACTAGCAAGTGCATCCTGAGATTCATTCCAGCCTCCCACAGCATAGATACAATCGTTGAGAGCAGCTACACCAAGATAGGCTCTTCGGGTGCCCATTGGAGCGAGTTCAGACCAACGTTTAGAGATGGGGTCATAGACTTCAACAGAACGCAGCTCYACTCCTTCACTGCTGATACCACCAACGACATAAATCAAACCTGCAGAAACAGAGTTTCTCCTATTTTAGGCTTTGTAATACAAAGACAGAAGATTACTGTCACAATACAAGTTTCAGCCTGACATTAAGATGGTTAAAGAATGACAGAAAATCCTCCTTTTGTTCARTAGTAGAATACATAAAGCTTTTGCATGAGTAGCTTGAGGCTTGATCACTAGAAACTCTAAGAAAGCAAAAAGTAATTAAGTGCACGGGAAGGAAATCAGAAGGTTGCAACTGCTGACCTGGTCAGGATCAAATTCTTTATAAGCACATTTGTTGATCAAGTGTTTAGACATGTCTGTCTTAAAATAACCTGTCACAAGTCTTCAGATTTTCACAAAGAAAAACATGCAAACCCAAATGTGGGAGGTAAGTAATAGTATCAGGAAGAACAATCAACTGTTAAAAGACTAGCTGGATTACCATACTGGCAGACATGTAAAAACTGTTTTCAGGAGATAAAAGGCAGAAGACAAACACTTTATAGTCTTTGAATTCTGCAGAATTAAAAATWGAGTACCAGAACAACAAACAATAGAGGCACAAGCATGTGTGACTGACAGCTCAGTATGAGACAAAGGTAAGAATTYATAACTGAAACATAAAGCTTCAAAATCCAATGGCTGTTGGAACTATTTATGGATACAAACTTAACAATATTCACCTTGCATTTCACAACACCCAAAGCAGTAACGGGGCTTAGCCATGCTTCCCACCACATCCCAACTATTTTCTTCAGGATCAAATCTTTCAATTGTGTTGCCAATCTCTGCTCCAACCCAGCCTCCTGCAAATAACAGCAAACATAGGAAGGAATTTAATGGCACAAAGTTGTGGGTTAGCTGCACTTTTAGACATACAAGGCACTGTTCTGGGACAAATTCTGAAATCAGCAATCAGTCTACAATGGAAGTAACTTGTAAGTAAACAATAACTAATCCACAAAGATTTAGTATATATGCTAGTACTTATGGACACAGTGTTTTTCAAAACTGGAGTTTGCAAGTTTCCATCACCAAGATGTAATATTAAAGATCAAATCAATTTACAAGTTTTATGAATTAACATCTTTAACTAGGAAAACTCCACAACTTACCCAAAGCATAGATAGCACCATAGCATGTGCACACTCCCAGTGCACAACGGGGATGGTTCATGGAAGCCACAGTTGTCCATTGCTTAGTAACAGGATCATAACATTCAGTGCAGTCAAAAATCATCGAGTTGTCCTCACCTGCATAATAACAGCAAGAAAAGTCAGGGGAAATGCAATGTTTTGCACTGCATATATGGAAACAYTCTTCAACCTTTTCCAGGACAGGCAACATTTGAATACAAAATTTATCTTTCAGTCAAACAGTCAATATAGCAAAACTTTCATTTATACCCAGAATTGAATCATCATTAGGAACCACTTGCATCAATAGTTCCCTGAAATGTTACTGAAAACATCAGAGAGGTGAACAACCACAGTGCTGCACGTTTTACTCCACAGCACAACTGACTGGGTTTACAAGAGCAAAGAACGAGCTCAGCAGTGATAAAAACAGTCTACATATGCATTCTTTCATGATGGGCTGGTTGGGCTACTCATCACATCCTTGTGCAACCATACATAATAAGCCTTTCCACGCAGGCAGACCACAAGTGGTCTGTCCTGTGCTACTGCCTTTTATGCTAYGGGCTTCTTTGAGACTACAGGTGAGAAAAGAAATTCCATTAGTGGTGGTACACAAAGCCCACAGAATAACCAACATCTCTGAATATATCTGCACACAGCCATATGGTAGCCTCTGAGTAGCTACACTATGAGGGGAGAACAACCTAATAAAAACTGGCCAACACAGGACCCCTAACAGGAATCCACTGAGCAGTGACAGTAGAGAACCAAGGAATCAACATCTAAAAGTTGTACTATCCTCAGAACCACTYACAACAAGAGTAAGTTTAATAGTCTCCATGCATGAGTTCTCTAGTATTCATGCAAGAAAGCAAACATATTTCAGCTGTTACCTCCAATGGCATAGACCATTCCTCCCACCACAGCCACCCCCAGCCCGCTCCGGGCCTGGTGGAGAGAGGACACTGTGGTCCAATAGTGGCTGAAGGTGTCAAATCGCTCCACACAGCTGAGGGCTCTGCTGTCACTCCAGCGTCCTCCTTGCAGTCGGGTGTACCCACCTGGAAAGAAAGTGGAAAGGCCGAATAAGAGTTCCTGTTCATCCTCACGTTTCTATATCTAAACCATTAAAAAATTACAGTAACAGCCATTAGCCACTTTTAGGAGGAATTGGATTCTTCCAAGCAGCTTTGTTTCTCCAGCACACAAAGAAGAACAGTTGCCTTGAGGGTCATGGAAATTGTGATAGGCTGATGCCACAGCACTACAAATATTAGAATTCATGTTTTCAGTAAAACACGGAGACCATCCAACAGCCTTTGCTCTCTAAGCTGGTGCTACTCCCCACAGGGTGAAACAAATGTGTTCCCTTCCAATATAAAGCTGCAGGTTTGCTGAGAAYGTGCAATTTCAAGTATCCCATCATACGAACCAAAGTATCCTGCACAGAGAAAACTTCAGCCATCAGAACAAAACATGCAGTGAATTTGCATATACCATTCCAGCAGCAAACCCTGGATAAATCCTCTGCTGATTTGCAGCTTTCCACCCAAGCCAAATAATTTTTGAACAGCAAATCTGGGCTTTGAATGCCRTGTCACAACAACAAGAAACATGAATGCTGGATTCCTGTGCAATTTTACTCAGAAAGTAGAACATGGTAACTCAGCATGATGAAACATTTTGCTACCTTTATATATTTCGATTTTTAAAAAATCGAGTATCGCCTTCAGTACTGCATTCTGAGATACTACTTCATTTGTTTTATAASGTTCAAACAGCCACATTCTAACCTACTGCATAAAGGTACTTCCTGGCTTTCCTCCGGGGACGACCTTTAGAAGCCTGAAGAAAACTGCTGACCTTGTTCTCTTTGGGAGATTTAGAGACTTCACAATATTCTTTCAACAGAGTTTGCAGGGCCACCCGGAGACTGAAATCTGGAATACCTTGAAGAATAACATAACAGAATAAGAATAAAATAAGCAGAACAGAAAAAAAAGAACAGTGAAAAGTAACAAACTGTAAGCAATTCAGTTATAGAGAAATGACTAGTTTCTCCTAAAACAGCAGACAAATCAAGGTTGCCTACTTTTATAAAGCTTTTTCAAAAGCACGTTTTTAAAGTAAGCTGAGCTTATTTTTTTTAGAATAGACCTTGTTTGCAACAAATATTTTCACTTATCATGCTACTATTGAAAAAAATAGTCCATCAAAGCCCAGTAACTCTGAACARCACATGGTTTATTCACATACAAGCATCTGATACTCCTTCTTTCACTTACTTTCTATGTATTTTAACAGCCTTTGTGCTGGTAGCAGAGGGAATCGAACAGGCTCCAGTACTTCCACGACATATTTCTTTCTTTTTCCCACATCCTTCAGAATCCATTGCATCGCCGCTGTGAAAACCTGGTACTCGTCCTCGATGCTCAGGTCCTCGCTCCGCAGGATCTTCACGAGCTGCTCCTTGGTGAGCGCCAGGAACTCCTCCCCGCTCTGCACCTCCAGGAAGTGCGCGTGGATGTAGCTCTCGGTGAACTCCATCAAATCGTGACAGGCGATCTGCTCGGAGAACTGGAAGAGGCCGATGCAGTTCAGCGGGTCGATCTGCCCCTTGAGGAACTCGGAGCAGAGCTCCACCACCTCGGTGAGCTGCAGCATGTCCGCGGCGACGATGAGCTCCTGGACGTTGTGTTCCGAGATGCTCACCACCCCTGCGGGCACCAAACCACAGCGGGGCCCCGCTCCAGCCTGCGGCCGCCGGGCACCCGCCCCTCGCCCCCSCGACAGCCCTCACCTGTGTAGATGAAGTCGAGCAGCGTGTGGAAGGTGTCCGCCTCCACGCCCGCGATCCGCACCACGTCCCGCCCGGACTCCTTCATGCCGCCCGCGAACAGCGCCGCGAAGTAGGGACTGCTGGCCGCCAGCACCAGGCGGTGCACGGAGAACGCCTCCGGGCCCACCTCCAGCCGCACRTCGCAGAAGCTGTGCCCGGCGCGCAGCCGGTTGATCTGGGCCAGGAGGAGCCGGGCGTGGCGCTCGGAGCTGGAGATGGAAGCGGAGCCGGAGCCAGAGCCGCCCTTGCCCGTCCCGGCACTCGCCGCCATCGCTGCTGCGGC